AAATGTATTTATTGTTTCTGTACAGGAAACTTAACTTTTCGGATACTTCGCCTGATGGTCAACGAGGTAACGAGGAAGGTATTGGAAGTATGGGTGCAATACCAGGTTCACCAGCTATGTCATCGTGTTCGGAAGGAGAACCTCCGCACAGTCCGATAGAAAATTATTTAACTTCGGGTCGAAGTAGATCTCCTATTATCAGTAGTTCATCGATACCACCACATGCATCTGCCACTACACAAAGCGATGTTGACAGTTTGAGACTACTTTTACAAGAGGTATTGTATTTCTGTCAATAAAAAAGAAATACGTAGTATAAAATACGTGTGATGTATAATATTTAGTACTTATACTGACTGCTGATTTTAGTTGAAATATTTTTATATTTGTAAATTTTATTTTCTTATAAGCATAGTTAATGAGAGATCTGTGCTATAGTCTCATTAATTATCGTATGTTTAATTTTTGGATATTTTTTCCTCTTATAGTATTTTATACCGTGATAAAGTTATATTATTGAAAATATTATTAATATTTTGATGTAGAAATATCATAATTTAGTATTAGAGCGTATGTTGCATTACTTTATTATTAGATATATGTACGAAGATACGCACTATATTCTATTGTATATAAATGTATATACGTTATTTAAACTGTAATATATATTGCTTCTTTATGTATACGAGCATTTTTTCATAGGTTTATAAGTGTGAATATATTTTTGGTTTTGCTTATGCACTGTGTTCGTTGTTCACTGCTTGCAGAGTCAGTATAAACTAGCATTAGCAGATGGAGAGGTGGAAAAACTCAAAGCTAAGGTAATCAAATTGAACAAGAAATTTTATCATTTTAATAACCAAATACCATTTTTTAATGTGTAAATTAATGTATATTCCTTGCTTGTGAAATGTTTGTCTTACATGCTTATATTTATAAATTTCTGTGCTGCTTTATATTATGTCATATAATACAAGATAATCTCATAGTTAGCTCGAGAAATATTAACTTGGATATGTGCGTGAGTACGTATGTGTGCATACGTATTATTTAATCTGTGATGAAATTTATTGGAAATATTTTGTTTATAGCTCGTAGATTTAGAAAACAGCGGAGCTGGTAGTGAGGAATATGCAGCAAAATTACGTGAGTCCGGTTTACGACTTCACGAGTCTGAAAGAGCCTTAGGAGCCGCTAGACAGGATTTAGCAACGGCACGAGAAATGCTTTCACAAGCAACAGCACAAAATTCTGCTTTGCAACAAAAATACGCTCGAGCAAGAAGGGCTGCGCGCGAGTTACGCGCGGATATCGCAGCTAGGGACGAATTCTATCAACAATTATTACAAGAGAAAGACACAGAGTATAATGCTCTCGTTAAAAGTTTAAAAGATAGGGTATGTTGATACTTATCATCTTTTGAAAAGTATATAGATTAAAACATTTTGGTAGAAATAAATTACGAATAATTTTAGGTAATCACGTTGGAAGTTGAATTAACAGAAACACAAAGGAGGTTTGGATTGCCAGTAAGATTACCTTATGATGGAGCTACGGCTAGAATAGTTACGCCGCAACTAACCCGTCGGCAATTACCTCCACCTCCTTCATCAACTAGCTGTCAACTTTCAGACACAGAGACGTCAGATCTTAGTAGCCCAGACGACGGAGATAAAACAGCAACCGTGGAAAGAAAATTACCAATTCCATTACCAGTCAAGGAGGAATTAGATCGAGCAGTACCTGCTCATCGACTTCTTGATAACTCTGCTGGAAAAAGTAAGGCTGAACTTGCAAGTAGAGGAGGACTCGCAAATCGGCAACTTCCTAAACGATCTGGTGGCCTTAGTAATAGTAGTTCTGTACGTGCTCAATTTCAAAAATGTAGTACATAATAATTAACAAAAATCGTTTAATAATTTTATCTTCTAGGACTATGGATTGGATGAATCAGGTGACAATACCGATGAAGATTCATCTTCCAAATTACTTTCTCAAGATGCAAGCAGTAGATCTCCAAATGACTTGACATCGAAACAATCAAATTTGAGTTCCTATTCTAGTAGTTCTTCGATTAGTTCCCTAAAAAGTAAACATATGGAACCTGCTCATCCGACGGCAATTCGACACAGTACTATTAGTTCGCAAGTTAGAGCAATGACAGAACAGAGTTGGCCACAATCTCAAAAAAGTATATTTCTTTTTCTTTTGTAAATAATATGACCAATATTAGATATAAAATTTGTATTGATACTGTGTAGATCTAACTGGACCGCCAGCATCATTAGCTGAGCAATTGAAACAAGTATTAGCAGAAAGAGAAAGACGACTCGGCGGAAATGATATTTCTTCTTCAAGAGAAAGTTCCGGAGATTTTAGCGACTTAAATAATCCACATACCAATGATCCAGCTTTAGTTACTCATCATTTAGTGGAAGAAATACGACAAGCTGTAAACGAAGCCAATCAAAGAGGTAATATATCGTAGATTAAATCGGAACTTTCAAACAGATGTGTTTTTTTTTGTGTTTTCTTTTTTTTTAAATATTTTTAAGAAACATTACTTATCTTTCTAGTGAAAAAAGCCACTATTCCTTCATCAAATTTAATTGGTAGCGGTTCCACACCTTGGCATCATCCAGGTAGTTCACCTTCTAGTCTATCATCTGGTGGATCAGTGAGCCCACCTGCAGTTGATCCTAGTCCATCGAAAACAGGTATTTTAGGTATTCAAAATGCGATAGAAATTGCGAATTATTCATTATTTTAATTTCTACTCTTTGCTTTTATCGACATGTATAAACAAAGTTATGAATTTAGATACGAGTGAAGTTTGGATGCCTCCTCATCCAAGCGACTTTGGTTTAGGTGACAAAAAGTCCCACTTTTGGCAAAATGCACCAGTTGCTGATTGGTCCAAGGAACAAGTAAGTTTATCTGTTTAAAAAAATATATATACATATATATATTATTGTCAATTAATAGAGGTTATTATATTTATTTCGGATTCGTAACTTAAAAAAATGGTGTTAGGTGTGTCAGTGGTTATCAGGAATTGGTTTGAAGCATTATGCATCACGTTTTTTGGAAACTGGAATTAACGGTGGAAATCTTTTGCGACTTGAATCTCGTGACCTGAAAGCTTTTGGTATTTGTCGCGAAGAAAAGTCTCATTTGAAACGGAAATTGAAGGAACTTAGGGCACAAGCAGACCGGGAACGTAAGGAAAGGAAGGAAATAGAACGAATGCGACGAAAAGCAGAGAAAGCTGCGCGAAAAAAATAGTTTGTTGTCCGTACATTGATGTACTTATGTCCTCTATAAAATGCAATAATATTGTACAAAATGGTTGGTAACATATGGAAGTCTTATGTACAATATTCCAGTGATGTTCGTAAAATATTTTCAATTTTTCCATCTACATTTAATTCTCTATTACGCATAAAACAGTCACAGTTTACTAAATGTTCTTGTTCGAATTTCTCGTTGTCCGAAATTTTAAACTTTGATCATTTATACTCAATTCTGATTTTCACACATTTGCATTTATTTATGATATATTTGTATCAGTGTTGGTTCACTGATCTAAATAGTATTTGGTATTAATTATTTATAAAGTGACAGTGAATACCAGTTCAAGAGATAGAATGTATGAATGTACTAGCATGCCTATTATGCCAGACGTATGTATGTGATATATATGTATAAAATTCAAGCCATTTAGGTAAATTGTAATAAAACTTGGATTATCTAGATTTTTTTAATAATTGTAAGTATACTTTTGTAGAGACATAAGTTTCACGTTACTAGAATACATAACTATTACTGTATTTATTTTTATCATCAGTTTTATCATGTAATAATTTTTCATAATGAAATAATATAATACGCTAGTATAGTAGAGACTTACAATTAGTATAAACTATTATTGAGGAAAAAAAGTGACTGTTCTCTACTATGTATGTACATCATGAACTTATCAACGAATTTGTAATTGTCAATACGGTGTGTGTTATAAATTCCATTGTAGATTGATCAAATTGCGAAATAGTTATTATATTCATCTATATTTATTCATTATCTATAAATTTGCTCAGTCTACAGTTTTCACCATTAGCAAATTATTAACTTCTTTAATCGATATTAATCGAAATAAAGTAATGTATTTCTATTATACTACCGTCTTGATGTTCGTATCGAAAACAAAATTTTTCTTCCTTTTTAATTATACGAAATTTATGTTCTTATATATGAATTCACTATTAAGTACTAGAAATCCGCACAATGTCGATTTTAATGCGACGATAATTTTTAAATTATTGTGATGAATTTTGTTTTTAGTATTTTCTATACATTTCAGACATTCCATGTGATTTTATAATTGTATCTTTATTAACATACAAATAGAAAATTATTATAAAGACTCCTAATGTTTCGGCGAGAACCCAATTATATGTATGTACGTGGATATATCACATAAGGATACATTATCCATTGAATAATGTATGTTAAATACAAAATTAGTATCCTAAGGAGAATTCATTTTTAAATATGATTGCGGGGCTCGCTTGGGTACGGTATAGACAAATGTACCTTATTGTGCGTACACTTATTTATAATAGCGTTAAAAAACTTTTGTACGATGTTAAGTACTTTGTGCTTCCTTTATATCGTTTTTTAAATGTACAATTTGTTTTTCTCATGAAGAAAAACAAAATTTCTTTTACATAGAGCAATTAAACTAGCAAAGTATTTAGCATTGATACAGATTGTACATATTATTATTATCACTGATATTGTATAATCTATAAAAAATTATTATGACTTAAGAGGCGTGTAAGAGGCATAACTGTAGTGTCATAATATCTTTATAGAAGATAGGTTTTAATTTCTTTTTATTTTAACTTGAGCGTTTATCAGAGGTCCTCCACTTTCTTTATAATACTATGTACCACGATATCTTGAAAGCAATCGATTATTGTTATTTCTGTTGTTGTTGCGTACAACGAAATGCGGTAACCGATCGAAAACAAAAAAAAAAAAAAAATACATATAACACAATGTAACATTCTTACGTCTCAGGGTAATCACCGATATGTTTTGAAATGTACGTGTGTTCAATGAATGAAAATTTTTACGGATTGGAACGTCTTACAATTCGTTTCTAAATGACTATTGTAATTTCATAGGAGCAGACGTTTGATAAAAAACCGACTGATTTACGATAAGTTTTTGTAGTTGATTTTTAAAAGATATGGCATAAGTATGCGACTTAAAGAAGTGTCATTTGTCCAAAAAAAAGCAAAATTATAGTAACTAAACTTGTACATCACTGTGAGGCTGCATATAGTGTCCGAATCTTTTCAATCGTTTTAAAAGTATTGCTCACAAGAAAGAAAGAAGGAAAGAAAGAAAAGAAACATAGTTCCATGGATAAAGACAAAGAATGTCACAGTTGCATAAATGATAGGTTTTTAACAATGTCTATAAAAAGTATTGTCAACAAATACTCTTAAACGTTTTAATTAAAAACAATTCATACAATACATTTGCGGTCTGTTTCTTTTTTACCTAATTGACAAAATATAAATATTGCTAAGAATACGATACATCAATTGTAATTGTATATTATTTATGTATGTACATTGAATTTTTTTATGTACCAAGACATATCATAAATATAATAATAAAATCCTACGTATTGTCGTATGTTTTTAAGCGAACAATTCAAATTTAAATGTAGTTACGTAATATCGATAGGTATCGTGAAAACGTTTGATCGATATTCCGTTATTTAACCGAAACTCTGTGAGTACAGTTCTGTATCGACGGTAATTTAGTAGAATTAATCATTTTAATCGTTGATCTGTCTAAAATTTTATTTCATTAGCAGAACAAACAATGCCGAGTATAAATATTAAAGACTACAATTGGCGGCAAAATTCAGAGTTCCTGATATTAAACGTACCTATAAGAGGCCATCCAAGAAAAGTGGATTTGTTCGTGATTGATAATTATGCGAAGGTACAAGTTTTATTATAACAATTTTCTTAATTAAATACAAACGATAATCGTATATTGTTTAATAAAATGATAGATAAGCTTTCCACCGTTCATATTGGAACTGTTTCTATGGGCTAATGTTGTTGAGAAGGAAAGTAAGTGCACCATAACCGATCAAGAGGCAATACTTACTCTGCGCAAGACAAATATCGGTTTAGAATGGCCCACTCTTGAGATACAAAACATCGACAAGGAGTTTAAACGAGAATGTCGAAATCGAGCTTTAGAGCAGGCTCAAAAAGTCGCTGAAGATAATAACAAACTGAAAAGAGGTATAGAAAATTTAATGTCGAGTTTATATTAAAGAACAGTGACCGACAGATGGTAATCTTCTTTAGAGAAACGTCAACACCTGCAAAGGGAGGCAGTGAGAGAACAAATTAATATCAACACGGCTACGTTAAATAAAATAGATGCGGTACGAAATGCGCACCGTAAGGAAGCTATGCAACAATTTGAAGAGTGGAGGTCAAAAGCAGAGTTACCATTATTATCTAATGTTGAAGGAGAAATACAAGAAAACAGGAAGGCTTATAAGTACCTAAATTATAATAAATATTATACCGTTACATGCCTTTTACCTTTAATAATAATCTTCTATATATTTTTTTTTAAGACCACCGTTAAAGTGGTTTAAAGACAATGACAACACGTTAAGGTCTCGACCAATGACTACCGAAGAAATATTTAATAATAATTCATCCTCAAAAGAATTCGAGTCTACGATAAAAGAAGAAAGAAATAATGAAAAGAAAATCGTGGAAATACAATCGGAAATCGAAACTTGGAACAGCAATGTTAAAACGAAAACGTTAATAAAAGAAAATAGTTCCTTTAATGACGCCAATTGTTCCAATGAGGATTCCGAATCGGATTATGAATTAAGATCAAACAGTAAAAAAATGGACAAAGATGTTTCAAATAAATTTTATACGAAAAAAAAAAGACCCGGACTGGAATCTGTAAAAGCTGCCATAGAAGGGAGGCTCGTGAGGAAAAGCAGTATATTTGAAGAACCATCGAAGTCGGTACCGTTACCAAGAAGAAATGGTACGATTAATGTCACATTTTCAGAACGAGCGTTCCCGACTCCTGCTAGAGAAAGTCATCACCTAGAAGAACAAGAAGTACTTTTTTTTGTCTTAATTTTACTAACCATCGAGATTGATGTAGACGCATAATTATACCTACCATTAATATAATTACAGTGGTTACAAAAGCAAGCAGAGGCAAGGCGCAAAATTGGTTTCGATACGAAGGACCTGCGATCGGAAGAACGCGATCCACAGTGGTTGAAAGATAAGGGAGAGTACGTATCTTAGGTAACTTCAGGTTAGATTAAATCAACAAGCTAATATACCGTTTGTATTTATACGATAGCGAGTTTTTCAAGGTTGGCAACTACCTAGGAGCTATCAGCGCCTATTCGTATGGGATTCAAATTAGCGATAAAATGGTATCGCTTTATGTGAACAGATCAGCAGCTCATTACGCGTTAGGAAATTACTGTAGATGTATAGAAGATTGTTCGAAAGTAATCCAAGTTACAATAAGATGTCTACATGGAATGGAACATATACTAAGTTCATCTATTGTATTCTTTCAGGCACTAGAACTAATGGAACCGAAATGCGAAAGTAACCGCGAGTCAAGGGCCAGGTGTCACGCTCGACGAGGTGCAGCGCTTTGCAAATTATCCTCGCCTCAACATGGTATTCCTGAGCTAGAGGCTGCTCTGAAATTAACACCGGATAATGAAAGCATAAAGCGCGACGTGCTGGCCGCGAAACAATACTTCCAGCTAAAAGATTAAGAGGTTTGTTCTTGTTTCTAGTTACAAGAGAGATCCAAGAAATTCTTTTGTCACCGTAGAGAAATATTTATTAATGTTACGTAAAAAAGTTATAATATTTTATATTAAATCATTAAAATATCACAGTCACAGGTCCTGAAATGTAAGAAACTAACTATATAATGTTACATAATTGCGCGATCATCAACGTTTTGGTACATTTTAATTTTCTAACGCGAAACTAAGTAACTATAATAACACGTGTACTTCTCTTTTCAACAGATCTTACGTCGATCCACTTTCTGTTCACGTTCTAACGACGATCCCGTTAAGATGATTCAATCGAACTCGATCATTTTCTTATCAACACATCCGCATTTCGTGTGTTCCAAGGCGTGTATCACTTCGTGATGCCTGTCTCGTTGTCGATCGATCGTGTGTTTCACCATGAAAACGAGACTAACGTTTCTAGTCTCGATGGGTGCACAAATTTGCTTAGGATCTGGGCAACATCCAGCTCCGTTGCAACGCGTTAGGACGGTGGAGGCAGGATAGAAAACTTCGTCGGGATTAGGACCAACAGTTAGAAGTTCTGACACTGGTACAGCTCTTGCTTGAGGCATGGAGCATCGAAATTCATGTACTAATTGTACGTGATTCAAAAATCCACTATCTCTGAAAATGAAAGCAAATTATTTTAATACAACTGTCAAGATCACGTCGCTAATAAGATTTCATTAAATTCAGGTATACCTATGATGTCTGCCAATCATAGCAAAAGCAAGATGAATAGAAAATAATAGTAAAATGAAGCTTCTCATTTCTATGTCGAACGACGAGAGTTTCTTTTCTGAATCTCACGTAGAATCTCAAGAGGAGTGTCCTAGTTCCTGCTGGAGGGTCTGCTCGCCTCACAATAGTCCTGGCACTGACGGCTATATACTCTCTTCTGCGCTCTGAATTCTTTCTCCCGCTATATATATATATATATATATATGTGTGTAACTTTCATCCTCGTCCTCGGGGGGGCTCTACCCCTCCCCTCTTTTACCGATTTCTCGTCGCCTTTCTTCGTTGTCCTATGGCGGTTCGCACCGTCTCCCTCTTGTTTCTCGGTAAACTCGAGGAGGACTCGAAGCAAAGCGTTCCGAGAACATCGCCAAGATAACTATAATTACAACTAGTGGGTCCTGCCTCCCGTTCGAACTGGGACCACGTTACGTCGCGTGACTAAGTCGTCCTCTCTTCGTCGCTCCAACGCTTCTTTCACTCATTCATCTTGCTCCGCAAAATTTTAACCAGTCATCGGTCAAATTATCAACCGCTTCTCGATTTTCTCTTTCCTGTACCGATCGCATCCCAAACACTGTTTCTCGTCCATCGATGCATCCTCGCTTGATTGCCTCCAGAGAATTTTGTAACAGTACCTTCAACCCTTTTTTTTTTTAACATTGTACGTATTATGTACATTCAAACGTTCTAACATTATTTTATCTTTTTAGAGATATATTAATCTGCAAAGTATTATGTTAGCATGTTTAATTTCCACGAAGGGACATGGATGAACATGCTTGAGAAACTGCTTGGAACAACGGGGCGGCACGAAGTAGCCTCCCCAATCTGCAATGTTATACGATGCGACAGGTTGCAGTGAATCATCGCGATACAGTTGCTGCAGAGTGTCTGATTACGACAAGGTTCATTCATACCGATATTCTTATTGTTACGCAAACCCTATGAGTAGTGCACGAGACGTGCATCACGGCTTTACTAAAAAAGATAAGTAATACATCCGTTTGACAAATTTCCTCGACGAAAGGTGAGAGTTGACATCGATTGCTTAAATCCAAATCCAGATGACACAAGTATCCGTTACAATGATTCGTGGAATTTCGGGGGTAGCAACCTTGAGAAGTACCATCTCCGTTGCCATGAAACATTTCTTTTTCCATGTTACATAAGCAATATTGTTTAAATTAAAGTAAGGTAGATATGTAACTACGCTTAATTTAGTATAGAATCATTCATGATTAATAATTGCTGCTATCAATCATGATAAAATGAAACGCTTTAAACAAAATCATGATCCATTTTTGAGTGACTAGTTGAGTGACAGTTAAATTGCTGATTTTATGATGATTGAATTGCGTGACTTTTGGCACGTATCCAGTGACAGATCGTTTAAATAACTATCAGTTGTTCTATCCACGTGTTTGTAACGGGATTTATGGATTTAATATGTCGTTGGAATAATTATATGGTTGCGTTCTATTTATAGCAGAATGAATAAGCGATTTACAGAAATTTACATGAAAGTAATAGTGTCAGTTCTTACCGTACGGAATTGGAATTACAATTGCGTGTACCGGTGTATCTCGCCCTGAGGGAGATCCCACTTACGTCAAATGAATCGGTAGTTGAGTAACGTAATCGTGTCACACTCACGTTTCCGCTTATTAATCGTATGTTACAATTAGAATTATGGTGTTCTATAATAATACATTAAACTTTAAACTAAGTCAAATTGTTAAATTGGATGAAAATGAAAAGATGAATGTTCGTGACTCATGCATTTCACCATTCTATTATCATGGGAATACGGATGTACAAAGGGAAGACTCACACCTAGATACAAAGGTATATAACGAATGATTAAGCGCGTGGCGAATCGCCAAAATAAGATACAAGCGAATTTCTTCTGCCCACATGAATGACTGCTAACAAAAGCTTGAAGCAAAACTGGTTAGCTGATGATTCACATGAATCAGTAATCGAAGCGAATACTGTATTTAGAGAATACAAAATTTCATATATTTATGATGGTTAATTAAATTTTCCATTGAAATTTTATCTAGTATTACATAACATCTTACGCCGTTTCTTGTTGCGTTTATCCTTCTTCCGCTACTATTTCTCGGTATCGGTATCGGTATCACTCTTCCGTTATCAACAATAGTGCGAGCTTATTAATAATTACAAAGCCAATGTACCACAACCCAAGTGTATAAATAGGTCAGTATGTGTCTACATGAAAATTTAATGAAATTTACTAATTAATATTTACAAGTATCAAGAACGAGTATCATCTGGAAAAATACAAGGAAACTAATTTCACGTTTCACAACCGGAATTCGAAGAAGAAGATATATGTACGTAGAGGAAAGACGAACTGCAATGAAACGTAACAGTGACTCGGAATTAGGAAGTGCATTTCTATCATGGGTAATCCCGTATCTTCTCGTCGAAATTTACGCGTAAAATTACACACAACACATAGAATTGTTTATTATTATACCGTTTTTGTCTTACACTAGACAAGAAAGGGATCATTGCAAGAAAACAACATTACTTTGGACACTTCTTTTTTACAGGTACCCCGACTGTAAAACGTGTAACTGTGAAGAAAGTTAATGTACCATGAAATCTTGGAAGCACAATCCACTATGCAACTTGGTAGACCTTTGAGACTTGAATTGCCAGAAGAATTTTCATTCTAAGCAGAAGAACGCGCGAAAGTTTATGCGTAATAAAGCAAACAGTCTTCTTTCGAGCATTCATTGAACTCCAGCCTCAGTGAATCACAGTAGAAGTGAGTCAATTGTAATTTCAAAGGAAAGAAGAAGGGCTCGGATCAGAAGACTTATGATAATGCTATCATGATTATACTCTAGGATATTTTAATGAATCAAACTCTTATTTCCGCAATTAGCGCGCGCTATTATTTATAAGATGTTTCTTATCAATGCTTCGACCAGTTATAACAAAATACTACACACGCTTAATTGCCAGATAAGACAGTTAAATATGTATATTACTGCTTTCGTGATGGCACACTGTTCGAGTGTTCCGTATCAAAGAAAAAAAGAAAAGTCGAAGTTCGACTTTGATAGAAAGGCGTTCCTCCTTTTATCAGAAGGTTACTCGATCTCTCACTGACAAAACATGTCGAACAATTCAGAGGATCGTAAGAGTACAATATGTAAACCTGAAGAACGTTTTAAGAATATTTACGGTACATTTATTTATAGCTCATTCAGTCAAGTTTAGTAACCGTGTGATCTTGTCGAAGATGTATGGAAGAACTTCAATGATTTGTGTAATCTATCAAACTAACAAGAAGCTCAGAAGTTAGAGGGTGGAAGGTTTGACGTGTACCGAGGACCGTTTCCCCGTGAAACACAGGATATCTAAAACGGTTTAAGAATTGCATAATTAAATACTCTCTACCGTAGAATCGTAGAACATTGGATTTTACGTACGCGTGAATCTCTCTATTGATGCGTGTACACCTTGCGTGAAGCATGTGTGCAAGCTCCTCCACGTATAAATACTCTTCTGGCAGCAGGAAAGTCTCAGTTGGATGGCTCTTGATACGAGTACGTGTCAGTGATTCGTACAGAAGAAAAGGTAACAAACCGAACAACGTGTCCGTCGGTTAATATCCCGTGGCAAAAACCTGATTCATGAGGGGTGAATCCGAGGCGAGCCGAACTTTCAGCGAAGAAGAAGCTGTACGGATAAATCAGCGAGTGATATCAGAAACGTAGCTCGATTTAAATAATAGAAACGAGGCATGAAAAGTAGATCGTTCAGGTTTTACCTGTTCAAGTTGATGATACTTATACCGTTGACACTGGACAACATGGTACCATCAGCGGCGAACGAGAGTTATCATCGAAGCGGTCGAAGGATAAACTTAACTCACGCGGTGAAGATGTCCCAAAAGTTTGTCTGCAAAGAACCACAATCCCGAGCGTACAACCTGAGGGATCTGATGTGGGATATTCATCAAAATTCCGGGGAGAGCCCGGTAAAACCTGTCTACATTGTTTTGAAACGTTGCGACGGACACTCGGGATGCTGTACGAGCCCCGACATGAGCTGTTCACCGATGCGATCAGCGATCTATTACGACGAGATCGAAATCGAAGTGTCTAGTTTGGTACTTGGGAACACGATTCCCCGATGGATCAGAGTCGAGCAACACGGTAAATGTTTCTGCGATGTTACCACGGTCAATGAACGGTATCAACAGGAATTTCAATGGCCTAACGTAACTCTGGTTTGATGAGAAATTATTAAAATTAAGAAAAGTGAGATTATGTTAACGAGTTAACGAGTTAACAGTATTTACGTTAAGGGAATCAAAGCAATTTAAGAACACAATTGATGTTGACATCTTCTCCGGGTTTAGCGTACCGGCTTGGTTCGAAAATGTTCATGTAGACTGAAATTGGCTCGATGCCCGACATATGTATGTTGGTTGTCTTTCTCGATGCTAAAATGTCGAGGACAGACACCTGTTTTATATTAGAAATTAACGTAGATATTTACTGTTTTCGACGAACGATTGGCAAGCGGATTCTTGAAAAATGAATATTAAAGAACATCAAAAACGTAAACGATTCAATATAAACTAGTCATATTACTAATAATGAAAGGGACCAAAACGTATTATTATTATTATGTTAGAAATTAATATGAAAGTGTAAAGTAGATATTTATATTACTAATTGTAATAAATTCAGTATTTATACGCGTTTATCAATATTTAACATTTATTTTTGTTAAGATATAGTATAAATGTTCTAAAAGTTTTTCTTAAGCAATCGGAGATATTTAAGTATTGAACAAGTATTAATCAGTAATACTACATTGAAATATTATTAAATCTGATAAGAGACTGATTCACGTATAAAATATATTCTAGTACGTGCACTTACACAAGTACCTCCTATTTATTTTGATAACCGGTTTTAAGACAAATGTCATATTTCAATATACATAATAGAATTTTAATATTTATTTTATACTATTTATTAATATTTGGAAGTCACTATATATATATATATATATTACATTCAGTCTGTACTTATGTGACTGATGAGAACTATCATAGAGTTTAACATATTTATTTAATTTTGTAAAATATAAAAAAGTGCGATGCATCTTTACAAAATAAGAAATATTTCTTGTACATTATGACAAATACTTTTAATAAAACTTTCATAATGTGCACTACGTAAAATAATATGAATATACGTTTTGTACGAACGATTCATATAAAGATACGTCTAACATAATATGATATTCAAGCAACGTCGTCAAAATTATTTTTACAGTTAAATAAATAAAACAATTTAAATGCTATGTACTTTTGATTGAAGAAAGAATATCGATTAGAGGAATGTTAATTTCGATATTGAAGACATAAACAAATAAGCAAGATATGGATTATGTAATTTAAAATGAAGCTTCAATTTAAAAAAAGATAGATACACGCTCCAATTATAAAAATAATCTTATTGTTTCGTTCACGTTAGGCGTAATAAATATCATACTGACAAATATGTATACAACAAAATTACTATTTAACGCGAAATAAAAATATTTTTAATATTTGAAAGTTGATATATATTAACAGCCAACGTTTCTTATACGATTCGCGTACAAATCCAGCAATATGTATCTTTCTTACGACTTCGTATACAAAAAGAATTGTCTTAGAATCTCGCGTACGGATATTTACTGCGCATTCGGCGTCTCGTTGCACGACCTCTCCCTGTTTCGTTATTTGGTCCTCTCGTTGCGTGTCCTCCACGTATCATTGTTTGCCCTTTAAAATATTTATTCTTGTGCATAATGAAAAAAAAAAAAAAAAAACACAAATATGACACAATTTATTATTTGTGATTACAATTACCTCTGCCGCTAGCTTGACTTTCCCAAACAATTGGTGTAGGCCGAGTACCACGCGCTGTTCTAAATGGTGATCGTGCTGATCGTCGCCCCGAATTGCCTCTATTGTTACCATTTGCTGCAGCTGCAGCCGCAGCTGCTGCTGTTCTTTGACGCGTATTGCTAGACGGAGACGCTTCCGCTTCACGACTTTCTTCTACTTCATCTTCCACTATGTCGCTTCCTGGTTCTTCGGTTCCTTCTCCTGCATCTACTGTATCGTCATCTCCGGAAATTAAGGGACCAGCTTCTTCTGTACGTTTTTCACTTTCTGAACTCATACCTATATACATATAAATAGATAATCATTTGAATAGCATAGGGAACTATTACTCAAGATTAGAATTTATAATCATTACCTTCGGTAGGTGTTGTACTAATAGATTCTGTAATTATTTCAGTTTGATTATGCTGCTGATCGTCAATACCGAGTACACGAATACTGGGTGGTATCGCAGGTTCTTCGCTAGTATCACCTGTAGTACCTGACAGTGGTGTTACTGAAACTGGTGTTTCTTGTTCTTCAGCGGGTCCGCTACTTGTCTACAAATAAATTGTCTTACAACGTCGTAATACTGTGTAACGATGATACGAAAAATTTTTACCGAAGGTGGTAAATCAGCCGCTGGTGAAACTTGCAAAGGTGTAGTAGGTACACTACGACCAGTACCACCGTCTTCTAATTGAACAAGATCCATTCGCGTATCGTCCATACTTTCTTGAACAACTGGCGCAACACCGGAACTGGACGAACCAAATATTGTTCGAGCTGTTGAGCCGGAAGGTGTTGATAACGAAGGAGTCGAGGATGCTGTTGTTGGCGCAGACGAATCTCCGAAGGTAAAACGTCCTTGAGGAACTTGTGGTGAACTGACAGCTTCTCCAAAACCATCTCCTCGGCGTGGTACAAACAAAGTTGGTGTACTTGGTACTATACTATCGTCACCTCCATCCTCGTACCCTTGCTGTGGCTAAAATTTATTGTAATATCGTAAAAGAAAATTCTTTTCTCTATTATCTGTGCAAAAGTACAGATAACATCCAAGACGTACCAAAAGAAGATGTTGTTGCTGTTGTTGCCTAGGCATAGGCGCAATTCCCCGTGACAATCGAGTTGCAAACGACGTAGCTGGTTCTCCCGTTGGTCCAGCACTACTAATTGCTTCTGACTGTTGTTGCTGTTGTTGATTTATCGGCACCGTTGCTTGTGCTTGTCTAGAGGCTTCTACGCTCGTAGAATCTTCTCCCATTATAATTTCAACTTCGTTGTTATCCCTTTCCACTTCTACCTCGACCTCGTAAGGCATTTCTTCTTCTTCTTCTTCCATCTCTTCGTATGGATCGTTATCAAACTCTTCCTCTTCCTGCGTTTGATGATTACCTCCTCCTTCACCTTCGTCACAATCTACCACAACTACGCATCCTTCCTCTACCTCTTCGTCTTGATCTCTTTGACTCGACGTGGGTACCTAAAAAATTTAACAGATAAGTTATGTTCTTAATAGATAAACATTATTCGATGTGTTTTACATTTTCATTATTTAAATTCACCTGGTACTCGACCTCTGACGCACTCGCACTGGCTGTAGATGGCATCTCTTGTCTGGTCCGTTTAGTTTTAGGGCTAAGAACTTGTTCCTGTCTACTATGATCAACACCTTCTACAATTCCAGATCCAGATGCCGTAGAATCGAGAGCTCTAGGACGTTTATGTCCTGTCGAAGCTTGGGATGTACTCACTGACTGAGTAGAGCTACTGGCTACAGTTTGCTGTTGATCACTAGCTGCAGCTTGTTGCTGCTGCTGCTGTTGTTGTTGTTCGACCCTTGGACTTACTAATGCAACAGTTTGTTGTTGTTGTTGCTGCTGCTGTTGCTGCTGCTGGCACTGTTGTTGTTGTTGTTGCTGTTGTTGTTGTTGTTGTTGTTGCACGCTAAGGGTTTCTGCACTTTCTGGATCTTCTCTTTGAGTCGACTCCGCTGACTCGCTCAGTTGTGGTTGCACAACGAGCTGACGCAAAGTGCTAGGCGCTGTCTGTGAGGAACTACTACTAGTGCTGGCCGGTTGAAAATCTGGAAGGCTGCTAGTTGGAGAACTCGTTTCAGTAGTGTGCACCACTTGTTGTTGCGACTGTTGTTGTTGATGAGGCGCAACCATTACCGGTGCGCTAGCGGTTGTAGGTAGAACAGCAGCTGTTCTAGATTGCACTACTACGCTCATAGGACGAATACTTGCTAACGGAGTTTCAGCACGAGCGGACATTGGTTTAATATTGGCCGTCGGTGGTTCTGTTGTAGCGCTAACTCCGCTAACACCGGCTAATTGTCGTTGGAATTGAGTAACTCTTTGTAAAAGAGTTTCTTTCTCCGCTTGAATTTCGGCCTTTTCATGTTCCAAACGAGAAATTCTACCTTCCATTTGAGATTTAAGCGCTACAAGTCTAGCATCGTGTTCAGCAGTATCCGAATCGGTAGTACCAGATTCAATTTTTGCCTTCAGGTCAAGGAGTTCTTTTTCACAAATCTTCTTCGATTCTGTTAATTGCATAATCTTGGTCCTTGCTCCTTTCAGTACCTGTTTTGCGCGTTCTTCTTTCTCAACGCTCGTTTTATTCATGTTGTCGATTTCTTTTTTCAAAGCCTCGGCTTCACTTTGTACAACTACCATCTGACGAGACAATTCATCAATCTTTGAAGTTAATTCTAAATTCGCTTGACGCAATTCTTGTCGACCTTCCTCCCGCAGTTGGTCCTCGCGTTCTTGAGATATTTGAACGGTATCTTCAGTTCCTGAAGTACCAGACGTCATTCGAGTCTCTTCGGATCTACTCTTCTCTTCCTCTACCGTTTTCGCGAGTTCCTCAAACTGAGTCTTGTATTTCTTTGCTATCTTTCTAATCTGAATTTCTTTGTTCTTAATGTCATTTAAAACAGTCTCCTTATCGCCAAGTTCTTTTCTTAATGTTGCTAGATCTTTAGCTTTGGAAGAGGAATCTGCAAGAGCTTCGTTCAAATCTTGACCTAATTTACGTGCTTCTTCGGAAACTTTCTGTACTTGTTCACCTTGAACTTGTACCTGTTTCTGAAGTTGCGATAACGACTCTTCTAATTTAGCTTTTTCTGCCTTTAGTTGATTTAATTCTTCTGCACGTTTAGCGTGTACCTCGCGTTCAGACGTGAGCAGTTTGCTAAGATTTTCACGCTCCGTCTGTAATCTACGCCAATCTTCTGGACTAGTTTTGTTAGCTCTTTCTACCAACGTATTAGCTCTTTGCCTCCATCTAGTCGCCTCTCCCTTAAGGCTTGCATTCTCTTGCAATAACGCTTCTGTTTTTGCTTGCAAATCTCTCGAGCTGTCTCGAAGTGGTCCTACTTCTTCCGAAAGTGCAGCTACCTTTACGGTAAGCTCTGATACTTTTGCGCTTAAACTATCCCTTTCTTCTCTAAGGATTCTATTAGAATCTGTTATTGCATTCAAAGTTTCAACTTTTCGTAATAACTCTGCATGTTTAGATGTTGTTACTACATCAATTTCTGACTTTTCTCTTTCAGAATTAAGGACGGTCTCCGTTTCTTTTAGTCGTTTCTCTACAACCTATATAAAGAAAAGCATGTTAATTGTGGTAGAAAAAAGTCGAGAAAGAAAAATACCATACAACACTAACCTCTACTTGAGATTTCAATCTAAGATTTTCTGCTCTTAAAACATCAAACTTTGCTACTGCCAAATCCTTTTCGCGTCTTAGATATTTCATTACTCTTAATAACTGTTCGGCAGATTTAGAATCATCTTCGAGTCCACTAAAGCTACGATTCATTGTTTCTAAACTAGTATCAAGACTTTCCTGTTCGTTTATTTTCGATTGTTGACTATGCATAATTGCAGTTTTATCGCTTAATTCTTGAATTTGATTATGTAAAATAGCATTCTGTGTATCCAAATCTTCTATTCTCTTTTGCATTTCTTGAAGTTCTTGAACTAATTTTTTCTCTCGTTCTTGATAAGCTATTCTTTCAAGGTCTAAAGCTTCTACAGCTGCATTTCTCTCTTGACTTAAGCTTGTTACTTTTTGTTCTACCGCCTGTGTGTCTTCCTTTAACTTTGCCAACAACTGTAAGTAATTCAATTAGGAAAAAAATATATACATATTATTAACTAAACATTTTACTTCATTTTTATTTGCACTGTAAAGAATAATTATATTTACCTGAAGATCTGCTGAATGCAATACCATTTCTCTAGCATATTTTTCTTCAGCTTCTTTAGCTGCCATTGAAGCATTTTGTAAATCACTTTTTACAATTTCTAACTCTCCCTTAACTTCGTCTAGTTCTTCAAGCTTTCTCTCTGCATCAGCCAATTTTTCTCTTAATTCTGAATCAGTTTCTTGTCGACCGCTAGAAACTTTTGCTAACTCTTCTCCTAATTCCTGAACTCTCTTCTGAAGTGATATTATTTCTACGCGTGCTTCCTTTAAAGCATTTTCTAATTCTTCTTTACATTTATTATGTTGCGTGGTTAATTCTCTTAGCTGTGCTTCGGTGCTTTCCGCTATATCACAATACTGTTGACTTTGTTGCCGTGCAGCTTTCAATTGCTCTGACAAAGATTTTGCTTCTGCCTGTGACGTTGCAAGTTGCATTTCAAGTTCTTTTAATCTCTTTACGAGATTTTCATCACCTGCAAGTTTAAATAGGAGGCAGAGAATTTTATTTATAATCATCAATTAAACTTTGAAATATTTACCTGTATATCATATATACCTACCGTTAAAAGGTTTGGTTATCGAATGAGTAACAGCTTGTCTTAGTTTAGCATTAAGTTCTTCGATACGTTGCGTATTCTGAGAATCCGATTGTCGAGCCTGTTCCAATTCCGCACGAATTTGTTCAGTTATATTGCGTTCTTCCGTCAATCGTTCCTGCGCTGTAGCAAGCTGTCTTTCCAAATGTCCAGATAATTCTCTAAATCGATCCTGTTCTTCCTGTAAACGTCGCCTCAATGCTGCACATTCCCTTGTTGCGTCGTCTAAACGCTGTTCGGCACGTAATTGACCTTCAGCTTGAACACGTTCTAAACTAGCTTTAATGGATTCAACATCTGCTTTTAATAAAGCTTGCGTCTGACGTTCTCTTTGATATACTTCCCGTTCTTTCAAAAGACGCCCTTCGGAGTCACGTAAAAGTTGTCTTTCTTGGCGTATATTTTCTAATTGTACTTCGGCACGGGATAATCGGGTTTGAGCTGATAAAGCTTCATCCTTCAAAATCATCAAACTTTGTTCGTGCTTGCCAATTGTCACATTATAATTAAAGCATTTTTCTTCGAGTACTTTTATTTGAGATTTATAAGAAGTAACATTTGCTTGTAGTAGATTAAATCTATCATTAGCTGAATCTAACTGTGCTTTTAATCTACAACATCGAGCTGAATTAGCTTCCGCTTCTTTCCTAAGTCTTTCCACTTCCTCTCCTAACATGCGTTCGTGTGCTGCTTTTTCCTTTCTGTATGTAACAAACTCGTCTGTAATCTGCTTTAATTTAGTTTCAGTTTCTGCCAACTGTCTTTGTAATTCTTTTTCTTTATTAACGTTGTCCTGACTGACTGCAGATGCCTTATCTGTAACGGATTTTTCTTCGCCCTCTTCTTTTGTTTCCTCTACCTCGTTCATCGAAAATTCTTTCTTGTCTGATGTACCTGTCTGTTTCAAGCATTGTTGATACATATTTTTATACATATCCCGCTGTCGTAAAAGACCATCGAACATTTTTGCTTGCCTATCCTGAGCAGCTTGCATATCTTCCAATTGTTCTAAATATCTGTTGCGATTTTAACAATGTGAAATAAATAAATACAGAAATAAGTAAATTATTTGTAAGAAAATTACAAACCTATCCAGTTTCTCTTTCATTTCTCCAGAATTTATTTCATCGGTTGCCCTTTCAATTTCTTCTTGCCTTGACGATAACGTCCTAACAATTGACAACAATTTCTGATTATTTTCTTGCAATTCTTCGATATCTTTAAAAGTGACAAGCTTCTTGCTAATAATTTCAGATGAAGCAAGATTATCCATATCCATTGAATTTGAAAATTCACTTGTATGCGCAGTTCCCCCACTTCTGCTCTCTTGGACTTCTTTCAAAAGGAAGCATACCTAAAAACATTAATTACGATATTAATATGTTTTAAAATATGTAAAAACAGATACAACTGGTGTTCCTTACCTGTCTAGCTAAATCTGATAATTCTGTTTTCAACCTCTCATTTTCTTTAGTATGATGTTTAGCAAGACGATTTGCTTCGTCCGCTGTTTCTTGCAATCTATGATTTTCTGCTAAAAGTTCGTCTAATCTTGATGTAAGTGTTGCAATATTAGCCACGGCGTTTTCATAATCTTCGCGTTGTTGTTGTAGAATAGGAGCTTTTTCCTCTACTTCTCGTATAATAACGTCCATTTGTGATTTTAGACGCTCATTTTCTTCTCGTTCCGAAGTTAGTTCATTTGATACATCGACTAATTGTGTATAAATCTGGGTAAGACTTAAACCTTTTCTCAAAACACGACTAGCTATGGCTGCTGTAGGTGCAAGTTGTTCAACAGCTTGATCTAATCTCTCTGTAAACAATTGTGAACCGTTAACTGTGAACGAAACTGTTAAGAAATAATAGTGACCAATTACCTTGTTTAATATTTTTAAGCAACTCATTTGCATGACTTAATTCTTTCAAAAGTTCATCTATCTTTTGCTCTTTTTCTTCTAATTCTTGTTTATGTTGTAATTGAAGTTGATTGTGCGTAGTTTCTAATGTTCCATATTGTTCTGTAGCAGTTTCTAATAATTCCTGAAGTTCTTTAACTGCACCGCTAAACTCTTCAGCTTTTGCATTTGCTTCATCAGCCATTCCTTTGTACAGATCTGCTAATCTAGTTTGAGCACCAATTTCTTCTCGATAAGAAGCATGCATAGAAATTTCATGATTACGTTGTTCTTCTAATTTTTGAGCAAATTCGTCACAGCGCCGTTGAAGAGATGCGTAAGATTCTCGTAGTTGTGACGTTGCTTCGTTAGCAATACGTAATTCTTCATCGCGTTGTGCCAAACGGGTATCTGTTAATAGAGCTCGAGCAGAAGCTTCTGCTCTTGTTGCTTGTAATTCTGACATTCTTTTTGCTAACTCTTCCTCAAGACCTGCCATTTGTTGTGAAAGTAAAGCCCTTTCTTGTTCTAACCTTTTCTCCCTATATAATGCAACATATTTATTAAATGGTATTTCATATTTATTTCCTATAAATACATACTTAAATTCAAGAGTCATATCGCGGCTTCTAATTTCTTCTGTCTCTGTTAAAGCTTGACATTTTGCAGCCACAGCATTTTGCAATTGAGTACCTAAAGAAGATAGTTCTGTATGCATTCTTTCAATTTCTGTATCTCGCCGTTCAACCTGTAATTGCAGTGCATCTCTTTCATCCACAACTGTGTCCCTATGTCTGCGTAAGTCAACATTTTCCTTCTCTAACCTATAATATTAAATTATATTAAATAAAATGAATATAAACATAATTTACACAATCTTCAATTTTATGTCTGTCAGATATTTAGACCTTTTAACCGTTTCTTGTAATTTTTGTATTTCATTTTTAGTCTGGTCTAAGTTGATCTGTAACTCGGTAGTATATTTCTCTGCTAATTCCAATTTTTCTTTACATTCTTCGAAATTTGATTTTTCCACTGCCAAATCTTTTTGTAATTTATCTACAGTTTGATCTAAAAAATTAAATATCAGTCGTAGAATTATTATTATTATTATGCAACTAATACTAATTAGCTAATTTTAATATTACTAAAACAAAATTATATCCAGAGTGTCACCATTTGATCAAATCTATCACCCATATTTTTATACATAAAAATATCATTCATGTTTAATAGAATATTCAAATTAAAGTGTTAAATAAATGCGGTAAATTCTTATAAAAAGAGGTTAACTACGCCATGTAAATAAACCGGGTGATCGTTATTGTGACAAAAACTACAAAATTCAATTCAAACATACCAAAATTTTTTCTATTAGTTTCAAAAACTGCTTTCGCAGTAATATATTGTTCAAATTTCTCATTGAAATATGCATTTATCTTTTTAACAACACCTTCTGGGATTTGTGTCAATTCTTCTTCACTTAAAACTTCTCGCAACACATTGTGTTCGTTTTCTTCTGTTTTTTCCATCTTTTACGTTGGATATACCTTATGAATTGCGTAGATCTTTCTTCAATGATAAATTCGTATTTTATGTATAATTGTGTTCGAATAAAGGCACATTTGATCAAACATTCAGCATTTATTACCTTCTCCTCTCACAATTGCTATGGCTTCTGTAAAACCATGTAAAACTGACGCGAAGACGCGAATGGCTACTATATACTTTAGCGTGCTTTAGCGTTATAATCAACCGTATTTAGCGCTGGTGTGCCAAATTTTCGTTTAATGTAAATTGTTGAAATATTCAAGTATTGCATATACATACAATTTATCTACTTATAAATAAAAATCCACAATTTTTTATATTACATTTTGTATATCATTCACACAATACATATTTTATATATTTTCTTATTTTGAAGCATTGCTTTCCTTCCTTCACGATTAAGAAGTTATAATTTCGCGCCTTGTTTAAAAATATTTTCTAGAAAAGAAATATTTAGATATTATGAAATTATATTTATATAGGTATCTTCCTTTTTAATTATTTAATTATACATTTAACACAATATTTATATTTATTTTAGATATTTGTTTTGAAAGGAGTAACCAGTGAATCAGAACTAAAGAAGATACAGAGTTTCAACTATTTATCACATAACCAGGAAAGAGGAAAGCATTAATATATATATATATTTATTTATATAAATACATATCAATATTATATATGTGTATGGATATGCGAATGGTATTTTCAATTAATTGAAAATAAAAAAAAAAGGTTATGCTTTCTTGAAGAAATTTATTAACACAAAGCATGTTTTCTTTAAAAATAAGTACTATCTTGAAATCAAAAAGTTTTATAGGTTATATAGATAATTACTGTAATTACATTAAACAAGAAAAACAATGTTTATGGATGTTGCAAAACTATAATCACAGTGGCTGTACAAATATTGATAAAAATTACTATTTATGTTATAAAATGAAACAATTTAATACAAGTGATATAAATCTTTTGCATTTTACAAATTGTAATAGAAAGTTTTGTACCAATCCTTTGCCAAAGGATGGTGATGTTTTTGGAAACATTTCACATGAAAAATATGAAAAAGTTCCAATGGATGAAGATGAGGAAAAAGAAGAAAATTTTTCAAAACGTACTAAAATTCCTATAATAGAAAGATTAAGTTACACAGATTATTGTAAGCTTATTAAATCATATATAGATTCAAAGAATGTAAATGCAGCATTAAATGTATTAGATTTAATGAAAGAAAATGGTGATAAGCCAAATGTCTTCATATATAGACTTTTACTTTCTGCATTTGCGTTACAAGGAGATGTAAATCAATGTTTTAAATTATTTAAGAAAATAAGAGACAGTGGTTTAGTTCCTTCAGCAAGGGTATATACTTCTTTAATTCAAGCTTGTGCTAACACAACTGATTCAAACATTGCGGTAGAACGTTTGGACTATTTAAGAAGATACTTTCTTGAGAGAAAATTAATGTTAAATGTAGTGCATTACTGTGCTCTTATCAAAGCTTATGGTCGGCATAACAAAGTTTTAACTGCCTTTCAAATAGCAGATGAAGCAAGGGATAATGGTATCATTTCAAATAGTATAGCCACTTATTTGTTTCACGCAACAATTGGTGACAAGGAATCTGGATTAAAATATGCTTTGGGTTTGTGGCACAAAATGAAGAAAGATAAAATGAAATTTAACATATTACATTATAATCTCCTTTTGAGAGCAATTAGAGATACAAAGTTTGGGGATTTGAAAGTAAATGATACTTTAGTATTAGAATCACCCGAAACTCAAATTCAATTTAAGAATGTAGAAAGATCAGATTTATTAGATTCTCCACCAGTGTTGAGTACTTCGCTCCTTAAAATGCTTACAGAATCTAAACATATTGTGGCAAATGCTGATACTTCAGAAATAGATGTAGTTAATAATAACAAGTTATTGTTACAAAATCTGGACGACGCGTTGCATTCAAAACGATTAATTTTATTTGGTGGAGTTGAAAAATTTATAAATGGAATGAAAATTCGTGGTGTATACCCTGATACAAAAACAATCACATTACTTTTAGATTTACTTCCGCCCACAATAACGGCAGAAGACTATTTTCTTAAGTACCTAAAAAATAATAATATAAATGTAGATATTACATTTTTTAACATGCTTATTAAAAGGAGATGTTTAAGAAGAAATTATATGGATGCCAAAGTAAGTACTTACAAAATAATGATATATTTGTTACAGTATGTAAATTCTATGTTATTAACTTATATTTATTTGCAGGCTATTCTTAATACGATACAAAGTTATCATTTTACAGCCAATATCATAACATTTGGAGTATTGGCTATTGGATGTAGAAAGCTTGAAGATGGAAAAGAACTTTTAGAACAAATGGATAATATTGGTTTTGCACCGAATTATACAATTTTAGAAACATTGTTACACAATGCGTGTGCTAATAAAAGGTTTTCTTATGTATTATATTTGATGAAGCACATATTGGCAACTGAAATTAAACCATCAAAAAATATGTTACAATTTTTAAAAAATTTTGATGAAATGATATTAAAAGAAATAGAAAATAAGGTATACACATTATTTCAGAAGTAACTAAAACTGTTTGTTCAAAAGTAAATAAATTGATGTTTATTATTGTTTTAGCATAACTACACTAATAAAAGAATATATTTCACCGAAGCAGATTATAACCAATTTAAAATATATTACGAAAATTGGAAAGAAAAGCTAGGAATAAATACAGATTATTGAAATGCTCAAACAGGTTTCATTAACTTATAGTCTGATTTTATTTTAATTTAAACTGTATAGAGTTGGAACTTTGATAACTCGTATTTGTAAAACAAAACAAAATAAAATAATACATTTACAAATACGATATGGATTAGTAGCTTCAGTTGTTTCTAAACCTATGAAAAATACAGAAAAATTTGGTAAGTAGAAACTATTCTGTATAGATGTAATATTAATAATGAAATTTTTTATTTCATAGGACTTTTATAACATATACACATCAAGAAATTTTGTACTGCGATAGTACACCAATTAAGTCGATTACTAATAATAATAATAATAATAATAATAATAATAATAATATGATATAATTCTAATAAGACATTTTTTTGATATTTCTAAGTAGGAAATTATAGTCTTCAATTATTAATAAACACTTTAATTGTCTAAATTAATTAAATTAACGAAGATAAGGAGGGCGGGGTTCTTGCGTCCATGGTCGACTTCTTGTTCCTGTACTGATAGCACGCGAAGGGCAAGTTCCGCGAATACTAAGTTTATTATAACCCGTAGGTCCGGTTGGTTGTGCTCCACATGTTTCTAATGCTACAAAGTCATCAACATGAAGGGACGGTGGTCGTGAAGTGTTTGGTGGTCTTGATCTAAATGGATCTGCTCCTCTACCTACGCTTCCCACCACTGGACCGCCTCTTAAAGAACTGGTAAATTGTGTTCTACCTCGCATAGGTGTAACTATAAAAGTAAGAAAATATGAGATATTTTTGTTTAAATATATAAGATGTTTGAATTATATCGTTATCATCAGTAACAAATATATAATTTACCGAATGGTTGTTTTATTTTAGAAACAGGAGATGATTGTTTCTGAACATCTCTAGTTTCTTGATCATCAGTTTGAGTTTTTGATTGCAATGGTTGAGTAGCATCATCAGGAGGTGTCTTGGAACATAAATTTTGAGCTTCTGTCAGTAAATTAAAGTCAGCAGGTAGTAATTCAGCTGCAAGTGCTAACAAGTCCACTGTGTTTTCATTTGAGGCTTGATTCGCAGATGCAAATGTAAATTTCTTTGGACGTTTAGAAGTAAGATCCGGAGTTCCTAAACATCGTTGGGAAAATTGATTTAATAGAGCTTCTGGAGTGGGCAATAATGGTTCCAACATTTCTGGAATAGGTTCTTTCTCTTCTTTATCCTCGGCAGACTTAAAAATTTCCACCAGCTCTTGTGCACTTTTTATTTTTTCCAAAGGATGTTCATTTTTATCCCATAATATTAAAGATGCTAGTTGCTGTACTCGTAAATATAAAGATCTTCCTTGCGATTCAGATGCAATTAAATTTTCTAAGAACAATATAGTTAAATCTACAACAGATTGAGCTTCTGGATCTTCTAAGACAGAAATATGCTCTAGTAATGATCGTAATGCATCAGGATTATTTTCTAAACAGCTTTTTACATGGTATAAACCATAATTATGACTAATAAGAGAGAGAAGTATTCGAAGTGTACTTTGTAATATCTCAGTTTCAAATTTCGTACTACTAGCTAGTATATCGATAAGGGCAGCCAGAATGAACAAAAGTGGTTCTTTACTAGGTACCGAATGTGTAAGTCTTTTTTCAAAGGGTTCATTTGTGTCTTCTTGCATAAGACTTAACGTACAGTCACATAAAGTTTCAAAGATATCAAGAATTTCGTGTTGCATTCTAATATCATTTGTATTTTTAAGTGCTATGCACATCATTTCAATGACAGGTGGATATTTCTGATCAGATTTCACTTGCGCTCTAGACGCAGGACTAGTTAAAGTTAACAAAGTGGCTTTCATAGGTGCATGCCTCGCAAGTTCGCCAAGTAACGCAAGAATTAAAACATTAGTTTCTAAAGGAGTAGCAGCTATAATACCATCTAATAAACATCTTCCTACGAGTAAAGCTGTAGGTGCTGCTAAATCACTTAATTGCTTACATACTTTTGCCAGAAGGACTAATAAATCTTTGTTCCAACTGGCGCAAAGCAATCGCAATGTTTCAGTTAAATTACTAGCTTGAGCTTGTAAATGAGCAGACCAGAGCTTTCTAAGCCCTAAGACTCGGGCGGCATCTTCGGTCATAGTTTCTTTCAAAGTTAAAATCGGTGGTAACAACCTTGTTAAGAGTTTTAAGCCAGGTATAAAATTACATGGACTCAAAGAAACCATTTTAAGCACTTCACCTAACATTTGTGTCCATAATGATTTTGCTACATTTCCTGATCCATCCGAGTCTACAGCCTGCGTGAATACCAAAAGTGTTCCTACTATTTCTTCGGATAAAGTTTGTACAATTCTAATAGGGGGGATAGCTTCGACTAACGAATATACCCCAAGTAATGGAACTACAGCTGTTAAATCTTTAAAATCTGTGGCCATACATTTTACAAGACGCTCCAATAAGGCTCTTGTTAATCTTATACATGGAAGAAGTAACGCGACTAATGCCAAACCTCTTCGACCTGTTAGAGCTGCACGGTGTAAAAATGGTTGTTCATAAAATTCTGAAATATTTGCCATAACAGCGATAAGAGCTGTTAAACCGTCGGCAGCAAATAACTGAGTTAATGCATTTCTATATTTTAATTCAATGTAAGGTTCCATTGGATCAATGTCGTTAGTCGAAGGAAAAACAAGATAATACAAAATTCTACATGCTGTAATTAACTGTCCTGGAAGGGAAGCAGCCTTATCTGCATTTTTTCTGATACATGTAACAAGCGGAGAAACATCTCCATAATTCCAATGCGATGGTTGCGCTGCTACAGACAAATATGATGTAACATCTTTTAAAACAGCCTGAACTCGTGATTTTTCTAAAATAATTGCAGCGCGATTTTGAAATACTTCAACTCGATCAGAATAACGTATTGTTGCTGATACAATTTCCGCAGAGAATTCACAAAGATTTGGATCAGAAAGATAGGGTATCAAAATATCAATGAATTCCCCTGTAGAAAGAACTGTTATTATAGCCTGCAAGCCTTCAGGAAATATTAAAACAGAATGAAGTTTGTTTAATGCTATCCAATCAGTAGGTTGATATTTTAAACGTAATAAATATTGAACAACCTGAAGCCGCCAAGCTAAAACTGAACCTGCTCCAGGCAATTCGTATTTCAAAGCTTTCAAAATTAATTTCGTAACTTCTGGTTCCTTTAACAAATATAATAAACCTTCTTTTGTGTCTGAAACACGTAGCAGAAAACGACGAGTAGCTTTAATTAAATTTAAATCTGATTTTGGAGAAGTGAGCGCAAACAAAATATGATAGAGAAGTTTATGATGCTCGAAATATGCTATTAAATGACATCGAGGATTTCGGTTATGTTCACGTTCGAATTCCATTTGTGCACCCGCAGGAAGCTGACGTTTTGGTTGAGCCATTAATGTTGGTGCACATACATATGTGTTTGATAATTCAGTGATGGCTAATTCATCAAGTTCTTTCAATTCGTCAAGAAATTCGTACGTGTGTACTTTTCGCAACAATGAACTTAAGGCATACTTTAATCTTGCTAATTTTGCCGTGTCCAGCATCGTTAAAGCATTTTTGTATAAATTATTGTTTGATTTAAGAAACTCTTGAACAATTATAGGGCTTATTAGCGCAGCATCTAGTGTACGAAGAGCGGAAAGTTTCACGGGAAGTGCTACATTTTCGCGCATGCACAATGCTAGTAATTTGTAAGGTGCATCTACTTTTAAAAGTATGTCTGGACCTTGGGGAAGCTTACACAAAGTTTCGGCTAGTCGTACACCTACTTTGACATGGCGAACTTTATAAGCTGGTTGAGGTTGAGCACGAGCAAGATCCATATCTAAACCAGCATTCACGATATTAGCCAAGTCACTAAAATCTGTGTTGTTCAAGTGAAAAGGACTAAGTATCGCGCATAAAGATTCACAATTATGAACGAATGTCTCTTTTTCTTGACCTGATGCATTATTAAAGTGTAAAACTGACTTTGATAATGACTGTAATATCTCGTGTATCTTATCTAACATTTCCTTGCTTATATGGCACTCTTCAACGATGTTCAATGATTCATCTAACTCCAATAAATCAGGTGGGTTTAAGGAGTAGATGTCATTCAACTGTGCATTGTCACATTCGTATTCAGCAGCAGCTGGTATATCATCTGTCATTATGTCTTCATCGGATAATATGGGTTCAAATGGTTCTCCTGTCTCTTGTTCACCTCCATCCTGTTCTCCTTCCTCTTCTTCAGCCGATATTGATTCAGGACTTAGCGATACTAAAGACTCGGAAGGTGGTGAAGAAGGACGTTTTGTAGATTTTAGAGTACTATTTGTAACATCTTCTTCCCAATGTCCTACATCTGTTTTTCCAGTATCTGATGTTGAATTTCTGGATGATTCAACTATTTGAATTGGTTGTATAGGAAGCGGGGGTGTTGCTGCTACGCATGTTTCCTATACATTTCATGAAAAGAGTTCATGATAACCATTGTAAAAAGGGATCTCTTACATTTTACATACTTACATTTGAATTTGACTGTGCTTGATTTTCATAATACCATTCGGACTGTTGTTCTGAAATTTGGATAGTATTTTCTACGACTTCCTCCAACCCAGTCACGCAAGCTGCAGAGCCAGCAGCTGAGCTAATAATTTCTTGTGGGTTATTCAAAGATTTTGTTAAAGTTCCATATACAGCTAAGGTAATGGTAGTATACCAGCCTCTTAATACTAAACCATCTGTTGGTATTTGTTTTCTCTCACATTCTAACTGAATATGAATATTTTGTTTATATTCTAACTCTCCAAGCGATTCAAAAGTAGAAGCTCCAGGTTTACTTAAATCATTTACAAAAAACTCAATTTCAAATTGTGATGGATTTGTTGCTCTAAATTAAAATCAGATAATAGATTAACTTTAGTGAAGCGGTTTTTTTTTTTATATACAGAATAAAAATTAATGAAATTATTAAATACCCTAAACGAACACCTCCAGGAAAATCTGCTTGTACTCTAGCACCTAATGGAATAATTCTAACTTCACTGATATACACAGGTTTGGGAAATTGCACTAAATCCAGATTGAGTTCCTGAAAAACATATTATTATTATTATTATTATTAACATTATCACGACTGTATGACATTATATCACATCTTACCTCAGAAATATCATGTGAAAAAGTGTCAAAAAATAACAATTCTGTGTTATCCATGTTTTGTTTATTTCAGTATAAAATATTTTGAAGCAGCATCTTCTTCAAAAGCGATAGATCAAAATGGTATTTACATTATTTTACCCTATAAAACAACAATTTCAAATATATTTTAATGTTACACCTAACCTTGGTCATTTTTCTACATAAACATTTTAATCATAAAATTGACCTACAAAGAGAATATTATTTATCAGTGATATTATTAAGTGCAACTAAAATTATTTTATCATGAAATTGGAAAAAATGTTTAATAAGTTATTGATACAATGTTTATAAATGTAATTTAAAATTTAACACTGAGTCTATTACAATTAAAGGTTGAATGCTTTTGTATCAATTTAAATATATTGAAACGTACAGTGATAAAATGAAACTGAAAAATTGAAATTTAAAAGCATTAACTTTTAAAAAACTGATTAACACTACTAAATCATACACGTTGTTCTTCTGTGTAAATATATATATATACTTTTATAATGACATATATTTATTTATTTTAACAAACGCCATCTGGTTTGGTTTGATACCTTCGGTTCTATTCGTTCTACTTCGTTATGAGAGAAATTGTAATGACTAATACCTGTGCAATCTCTCTGCGAATAACTTTTTTTTTCCGTTGTAAATTTTTGTTCGCAATAAAACGTAAAGTTCGTGTATTTTATACATCAGCCCGATTTTAACGGGTACTTTTTATATGTATTTTATAAGTAGTACTTACTTACTTATTGAATAGCTGTGATAACGAGATAACTGATCTGCGTCGCTGGTTGCGTTCTTGATTATTTGTAATTTGTTTTAAATTGTGATACGGCTACAATGAAACAAAAATTATATTAGATCAGTAAGTGTAAGGAAAAGTTTTATTATAATTTATACTATGAGACAAAGAAATATTGAAAACACTACAAGTATTATTAACGTTAATGTTCATAATATGCTTCTTTGTATTTTTTTTGAAACAATATGTATAGTTAAATTTCAGTTTTGAAACAGGTGAAAAGTTTTGTTAACGTCATTTTTAGATTCAATGCCATGTATACTCCCATTTTATAAATTTCCAAAGAATAAATGAATTATATATTTCAATAAGCGTCTGACTATTTCTTGTTTATTGAAATGTTTCATTCTATTATATGATTAAAATTATTGTATTTTATATTTATATTTATCTCTTGTATGACCTATACTTTTGAATTGCAAGAAATTAAATATGTTTGTATATTAATAGATAATAATGATAAATGATTTGTTTACAAATATCTGATGTGATAAATATTTATTTTTAGGAATGGTAGCTGCTGGAGCCACAGTTTTAATGGCAACCAGTGGAGAAAGTTCTTCGAATGGCTCGCAAAATGATTCTATTAAATATGAGAATCAAAACATTTGTTCTCCTTATAATGAAATTTCAGTTAAAAAGAATATAACACCTAATGTTATAAATAGTAAGTATACTATATTTTAAATTTTTCCACTTGTTAAATATCATATGTTTATCGTTCAAATTAATTTTCATAAAAACAATTGCTAAAGAATATGTCAATTTTTGATATATATGTAATGTACTTCACTTTGATGGAACTGATTGTCAATACTTTTATAATAGAAAGTAAAAGTCGTAGTTCCATATTGGAAAAAAGTAATCGATCGATTCCAAGATCAGAAAATAAAGAAAGTAAAAATCTTACATTATACAAAGCAGCACCAATTCGTGAGACTAAGACTTCCAGATTAAGGGCTGCTTCAATTATATCGCCCAATGGTATGTTGCATTTATTAGTTTCAACAGAGTATATCTTCTATCTTTAATATGAGATTTAATATATTTTATGTTTTATTTACACAGGTGGAACAGTGTTATCAAAAAAATTAGGTATGTCAGAAACTTCTGCTCCTTTGGGTCTCCAACCTAGCAGTAGTTTATCAATTAAAGATGTAAGTAATCGCATTTAATATGGTCACCAAATATACATGGTAACTTGGAAATTATAAAATGTATAATATTATTTTCAGGAAAATTCAATATCAGGTAACAATAGTATTATAAATTCTGCGAGAGAGAGAGATAAAAGTTATAAGCGAAAATCGTATTTAAATCGATCTCTTAATATGGAGACAACAGGAGATCGCTCGTGTCAGTGTAAGTGATTTAAAAAGATAATCATTTTCACTTATATTTACCTGTCAGTTTTAGTAAATTAGTGTTCACAAAAATTTTAATATGTATTTTAGCTGAATATAGCGTTAGACAAACCAGAAGACAATCAAATAAGCAAGGTTACATATCTGATACAATATCTACTTCAAATTCTAGTAATCAACATCAAGCAACAAGTAATTTAGATAAAAAACCCTTTGCGTCAAAGGTGGCTTACAGGAAAGTTAGTACTCAAAATGTTACAACTTATCCAAAAACTTGTACATTGCCTTCTGTAAATACATCTGCAAATGTTAAATGTTCAAATACGCAACGAACTAGGTAATAATTGTATTTTTATTATTGTTGCTTTTCCTACAAGATATCAGATTAATGTAAACTTCATTTCAATAACAGTGGTGGTCATAGTGATTCAGAAGTTTCACGAAGAGTTGATGCATTAACAGCGTTAACAAAATCCGCTATAGAACGCGTGGAAAGACTTACATCGCACGCAAATTTGCCAACAAATTACGGACCTCAATTGGAAAACCATACGTCCGCTGTATCATCTCAAGGAAATTCTTTCAATAGTACAGAGAGTAACGCAAACAATGCACGTGTGTTGCAACAATCATCTCCAAGGAAAAGCTCTATTTTAAAAAAATCAAACGAAGAACATTCTCAAGATGGATCGTTAAGTATGCAACATACGCCAGTTTCAATTCTTAAACATAAACTGTCTGAAAATGAAGTGATTCAAACTGTATCCAGTTCTACTCATACTGTTTTACCTGTAACATTTTCACCCTCTGTAGTAGAGCCAACACATAAAAGACATGGTATTTTAAAAAAACGTAGTAGCCTAGATGAAAGTGAAATACTTCGACGGCGTAGCTGTTCGCCAGACATTTCGTTCGCCGATAATACTTATTCTGAATTTAGACCAATATTAAAGAATCAAAGACGATCATCCTTGGATGAAATTATCAAAAGGGATCAGAGTCCAGATCCGCAACCTACTTCTATATTAAAACGAAAATCATCTAGGGAGGATGATAGAGAAGATCGTCATATTGCTTCTTTAGAACCACAAGGTATACTTAAAAGAAAATCTACAAATAGCGTGCGATCAAACAACGTTAATCATCACGTGACCATTACAACGGATGCAACAAGTGTGAGTGGTCCCGAAATACTTGATAGCTCCGAGGTGAGGCCAATACTAAAGAAGAAGCACAGTAGAGAAGAATCATTTGGTAGCGATCCACCATCTATAGAACCACGACCAATATTGAAAAAGAAGTCTAGCACCGAATCGGACGAGCATGACGATAAACCTAAAAAGACGATTTTAAAATCAACTCGAAAAAATTCACAAGATGAATGTAACGAAACAGAATTGACGTCACCAAAAAAGTTGTCAATGCTTAGAAGTCGTGTTTCACAAACTAGAACAAGTGGAATAGTGGAAAACGATCCTGTACGACCTATATTGAAACAACCTGGCTGTAAAGACAATGAATCGCGAGTCCGTTTGAATTTATGTGACGAGATAGTTATTAATGATGATGCATGTTCGAAATCAACAGATGTATTTTTGCGGAAAAGAGCACAATCTGTCGGTCATATACAACCATCTAATATTCCTCATGAATTTACTGGTGTACTTAACAAACGAAGATCTCTTGAATTAATATCTGTAAATGATACATTAGAAGAGAAGTCGCAAAAAAGGTTAACAGTAAATAGCAACTGTTCCAAAGCAGATATTTCTCTAGATAGTGAGAGTGCCAATACTTGTCTTACTTCCTCTGACATACTGTACAGGTATGTGGTACACTTTCTATAAATACATGATTTTAGAAATTAATTTACAATGATATAATAAAAACTGGCAATTATAAAATGAATAAACATTGAGTTATTTAAGATTATTCTTTTTATTATTATTATTATTATTATTTTTTTTTTTTTTTAGTATTTTGAATATTTGTTTATACCTTTGACATAGTAATACGTTCAGTAAGACTCTGACTCTGTGCCAAGTTTAATTATAGATCAGCTAGCAATTCTGAAAGCTACCAGAAAACAGAGAAGCAGAACATGTACATACAAAATCTGTACATTTGTTTAAAAATTAATTCTGATTTAATGTAGTCTGTTAGAACTTTTCTTGTTTTGTTTAGATGCAATTCATGATTTACAAAAGCTTTTAAGTGATAAATGTATTTACTTCTTATTAATCCTTAACCGTTTTCGGTTCCAAGGTGTATTTGAAATGAAAAATCTTTGTCGAAAAATGCCAAGCAGCGCGATCGTACTTGATTTATTTACACATCAAGGTGAAATGTAGTGGGTCTTTTCGACATGAAATCAAAACAATACGATCGCGCTGCATGGGGCTAAAACGGTTAAAATAAAGATAACAAATCAATATTGCATTTAATTACAGCATAAGAAAAGAAAACTTACCAGATAAGGAAAAGCAAACTGCTCCAGTATTTGAAACTGAGACAGAAAACAAAGCATGTCTTTATAGTCTTTCTACAGATGATAGTAATACGAGTGGTATGCTTCCTGGCAAAATAATGGATAACAAACAGTATTCAAATGATGAAACGCTATTGTTACAAAGGAAATCAGATGATTCGGATAATCAGGAAAATAATGGTGTACATCGTAGTAACAGTGTTTCCAAAATGACAATGCATTTCAAAAGTTTACAAGAGAAAGCAAATTCTAAAGAAAAAGATGGTTTACCTCAAAAAGCACAAAATAAAGGGTCACATGGAATACAACGTTATAGAGAACGAAAATGTCAAGGGAATGATAGATTTAACACACAGCCAGTAACTTTGCAAGAAGTACAGGAAGCAGTTTTACAAAATCAGCGTAATGCTACATCAGCTAGAGATCCAAAGTCAACGGAAAATAATTCAACTGACGATGAGTTTGATCCTTCTAAATTAAGTTTGGCAGAACGAGTGCGTTTATTTAATCAGAAAATTGATACTGAAAAATGTTCCGTGTCAAATAATATATCAATGGAAAGGCATTCGCGAAGACGGCCGACTACTCGTTATAAAACGCAGCCAGTTACATCTGAGGAAGTTGAAGTAGCGTCGCGAATATCTCCATTAAATCCTGTTAATCAATCCTCGTTAGATATAAGTAAGTATTAAAATAAAATGAATGAAATAATAAACTATCATTAATGTGTGTAATGTAATTATTTCTCTAAAACTTTTATAAAAATGTTGATGCTTTTTAAGGTAATTTACCAAAAAGCATTTTAAAAACTATACCATTACATACACCTAGTGTACCTCGAGCAAAAAGTCCTGAACTTGAAGGTATGAAGTTAATAAAATCTGTACTTAAAAAGGAATCCGAAGAATCAGAACAACGAACGTCTGAAAATTGTGATGCTTTACCACGTTCCATTTTAAAATCTAACTTAAAAATGGAAGAAAATAAGGTAATAATATTTAATATTGATAAAGCGAAAGTATTTCTAATCAGACTAAGAACATCAATAATGATATAAGATCTTATATGTAGACAGGAGGTGGAATTAAACATAATTATTCTACACAGTACGATCTGAGTTGTACATATAAAGAAGATAATAGTAAAGTAGGTAAGTAGTAAGAAATTGGATAAATATGTCCAATATCTTTCCATAAAAATAACTTTCTTCGTATACAACAATATTCATATCTTCGTTAGGTGACTTTGATAAATTTCAAACTGAAATTACTTCATCCAAAACTCATGAAGAAACGGTTCAAACATCGGATAATACACCCGGCGACGATTATGAAGCTGTATCTTCTTTTACTTATTCTTCTGTTTCAAAACAAACCAGGTAATAGATTTTATATAAATTTATTTATAAATAATTTAAAATAGGAGACTCCTCTTTTATATCGCATTAATATTTAGTTTATATTAATGAAGCATTCTGTAAATTGTAACAATGTCTGCTCTATTTTTTTAAGTTTTCAGTATACTTTACCAAATGCGGTTTTTACACGTCGTAGAACGTTCTTTCTATTTATTACTACAATTACTGATAAGATTACATTATGTAAAAAAATGTGAACGTGAACACACGTGTATATTGTAATTAACTATTTATAGGTATGCTTCATTGTTGAAGAGCGCCAGTCACCATACGATTAGCAATAAAGCGAACGAAAGTGACTCGTGTCCTGCAGGAATACAAAAGCAACATCCTGTAGCTCTTCCAGGATTATATCGTAGTGCAACACAAGCAATACCAACAATAGATACTAATGATGGTCCAAGCATGAGTATCGCAGAACGATTAGCTGCACTTCAGCGTAGTGGTAATACAAGTTGGAAAAGACGCATAGCACCGGAATCACCTAATCCATCTGTAATATTTTTTTATATTTGGATTATTTATATCAAAGTGGTTCTGTTCTAAAATTTAAACACCTTAAACACGTTAACTGTAATTAATTAAAATCAACGATTAGGATGGATTATCTGCTGGTTTACTCAGTAAAGAAGAATTAAGCATCAAGCAAGGAGTACTAGCCGATCGTCTTGGAAAATTAGAATCTGCTACAGAAGGATGGAAAAAGAGAATAGCTGCATCGGATGTAACAAAATTTACAGTAGCTGGCAAAATGAAGGTAGAGCTACCAGAACATTTAGATCCAGGACCATCTTCGCCACTTATTGAAGTTACAGGAAGTATTACAGATAGGAAGAAGAAAACACCTAGGCCCGAGCGATTTAGAGCGAAAAAGGGTAATATTCTTTAATGTAATTTAAATTAAATTAGTAAGTAGAAAGAAAATCTTGAAAGTGCAAAAATGTATTCTTAAATAGGTTATGCAAAGGATGTTGTATCTATGCCGACTAGCCCAAGCAAAGATTCATGTATCAAGTCCCGAGAAAGCTTTTCTGAACCTACAAGCGAAGACAGTGGTCCGTAGTTTGTTTAATAGTTGGGTAATTGTGATTAATGTTTGTATTCAAGTGCTCGTTTATTTTATTAGGAGAAGAATTGAAAGTAGGAAAAAATGTATCACCTGTTGTATCAGTACCTAAGATAGATGATGAAACATTCACTTCCTTCTTTACTGGAATTTCATTAAAAAAATGTGAAACTGAATCAATTGATTTAAACGAAAGCGATTTTGACATGATTACATCGCAATCTGAATTGTAAGTTCTGCTTTTCTTATTAGTGTCATTGATTATGTTTGGTATTGTATTTTTAATAAATTTTTTATGTATTTATAGATTAGTTCAGAAACGAAATATACACCTAAAACGACGACGTGTCATGTCTAGAAATCCTCTTAAATCACTTGCTGCTCGTACTGATTTGAAATCAGAATATACTGAGATTCGGACTGGTATTGCAGAGAAGGTAATGAAACAATTAAATATTGAAAAACGTAAGTCCTTATGATATTTTATTACATATTATTAATTTCATATGATGTGTTATTTATATCTCATTGTATTATTTTATAGTAGCTAAAAATTCGTCGTTAGCAATGGAAGCTTTAGCTGGCCTAGCTTCTACCGAAGACTTTAGTAATATAACACTAAGAAATGTTGCAGAAACAAATATTTCAGCGAATAAACTACAACCATATAAAGATATAATGTTGATTTTAATTAAGGGCAGGCGTCACATACAAGTAAGATTAGTTGAGCCAGTTGGAGAAAGTATAAACAGCGGCGATAATTTCATTTTAGTGACAAAATCGGAGGTAATTAAGAGAATATTATTTAAATAAAAAATTTATTTATAATATCTTAATGAATCTTATATTTTCAATTCAGGTTTATAATTATGTTGGAAAGTATTGTAATGTTATTGAAAAAACTCGAGGTGCAGAAATAGCAATGAGTATTCAACAACACAAAGATCTTGGTTGCCAAGCATCTCAAGTTATTACTATTAACGAAGATAAAATAACTTGTACTAGAAGTCAGTTACAAAAATTTTGGAATTATCTCGGCGTTGAACTTGAAAACGTGAATGGTAAGGTAACAGACATTTTATCCGACATGAATGTAAAAATAATATGAATTATTTCATAATAATATTTATTTCAATAGTTATCGATGGTGGACATCCTGATGAGGATGAACTTTATGAGACAGTTATGATGGATACAAACATGGTATATGAAATTAAAGACGAAGAATTAGTACCCCTTGAAAAATATTGGGGTACTATACCAAAGATTGAAATGCTTGATCTAAATAAGGTTCATATATTTATAACAAAGTTGCATTTTGATATTACGTATATATTGTTTTGTATTTATTTACAAATAATTATTTTTCTCTTTTATAAGGTTCTGGTATTTGATTTTGGCAGTGAAATGTACATATGGAGCGGAAAGGGAGCTTCGACTGATAAGAAAAGACTTGCAACACATCTGGCTACAGAAATGTGGCAAGAAGGATATGATTATACAGAATGTGCTGTGTGTCCAATTACTGCGGCGTCTATGATTGGCAGACGTGTTGTGTCAAAAACAGACTTAAAATCTTCTAAATTAAGACCAAAATGGTGTTTACTTGCCAAGTTAACGCAACACGTAGAAACAATACTTTTCAGAGAAAAGTTCCTTGACTGGCCAAATGTATCTGGTATAATACGAGTTAGAGGCACTAAAAGTAAAGAACAAGTCGATGGAACTATAACTATAGAAGTGTGCAATATTGATAATTTACTAGAAGAAAACAATACTCCTGTTGATTTAATTCTTGAAGGAAGTCATTTGGGTAGAGGTACTGGTTGGTATGACGATGAGGTAATTTTTTTTTACATGAATTCGGTACATTGTTTAAATGCTTTAAGCAATTTATCTATCATAACTTAATTCTTCAGCTAATGAAACAGTACGTTGTTACTGCTACTGGAGTGAAAGTGTGGCACATTGATGAATTCTCGCATACTCTGTTAGATAAGTCATCCGTTGGTCAGTTTTATTCGGGAGACAGTTATATTATTCATTGGATGTATTCCGTTACAATTACTGGTCGTGAGCTTAGTGGTTTGCCATCGAAGCATTCTGCAAAGGGTCGTGATCGTTCGGTGTATTTTATTTGGCAAGGGCAAAATGCGTCTTTGAACGAACAAGGTGCTGCAGCGTTACTAACTATTGAATTGGATAACGATCAAGCGCCTCAGGTAATTATCAATTAAATATCAGTGAAAGTATAACTTTGAATAAATATTGCAAACTCACATAAACGCGTACGTACACACACTCTTTGTAGCTTCGTGTAGTTCAAGGACACGAACCGGCTGCATTTTTAAATTTATTTTCTGGAGGAATGATTGTACATTGTGGCAAGAAAACGAATACAAGATGCGACGAACGATGGCGATTGTACATATGTCGAGGTACTTTAGAGTCAGAGGTGTCTTTAACAGAGATTCCTTGTAGTACTCGCCAATTACGAAGCAGAGGTTCTCTTATATTACTAGATACTAGAAATAATAAAATTTATATATGGCATGGATCCAATACATTACCTCATATTAAGAAGGTATTCTTTTTAAATTCTTTATTTTAACGTTATAATTATATTTCAATTGCTTTAATGGGAAAATGCTTTTAGAATATACTTAAAGCAGCAACAAAATTACAAGAAAATCGACCTCAGGAAACTGGTTTGTCGTCTGAAAGTAATGTAGAAATTCTTGAAACTGATGAAGGAATGGAACCAGAAGAATTCACTAATGGTAAATACAAGTATAAATATCATATTATTAACATACTGACTGATTAATTTAATAATCCGTATTTGATTACATAGCGTTAGGAAGAATGAACAAAAAATTGTATATATCGTTAGAAAAAAAACAATTACAAGAACACACTCCAAGACTGTTTCATTTATCAAGCATTTCTAAAGAATTTAAGCCTATAGAAATATTGTGCCCTCATCGTGCTTCTTTGCCAACTCCGTTTCCTTTTCTGCAGGAAGAGTTGTATCAAGCTCATCAACCAGGTATTTTGTGAAATATATAGAGTGATAGTTTTTTATTGGTTGCACTGAATATAAAGCGATAAAATTATTATTTCAGCTTTATTTTTATTGAATAATAAAAATGAATTGTGGATATGGCAAGGTTGGTGGCCTGATAATGGCGGAGAAGATCAGTCTGGTAGTAAAGCTGTAAGATGGCAAGCTGAAAGAAGAGCTGCTATGACAATGGCAATGCAGTACTGGCAAAAAATTCATCCAGAAACAAATAAGTACCCAATTTATCTAGTCTGGGCTGGTCTTGAACCATTGCAATTCATAAATTTATTTCCTACGTGGACATATCGTGATGATATTGCGGAATTAAACATAGAGGTATTTATTTATTTATTCAAATTATTAAAGTTATAGGATGTACACAAATATTCTGCAATTAGGATGGTCGTAAACCTGGCGAAGTATTAACTGCAGAGAGTGAGTTAAACCGATTAACACAAAGCACGTATCCCCCAGCTCAATTATTACAACGACCTTTACCAGAAGGAGTCGATCCTACACGCTTGGAATTGTACTTATCGCAACAACATTTTCAAGTAAATTTTATAACTCACACTTTTTAAAACAATTCATTAATTAGCAAGCTACATGTTGAATATCTTTCTAACAGGAACTGTTAGGTATGACTAAAGAAGAATTTCGAGAACTTCCGGTTTGGAAACAAGTGAACCTTAAGAAAGAAATAGGGCTTTTTTGATAAAATATTCTGACTGCCGATCCTACAAGAAATAGCTGCCCCTGTAAACAATTAATAAAGTTTTTGTTAATTGTTTTATGATGTTTATAACTTCAGATTTTTTAATTTTTCAATGTATCCGCGTTTAAGATACGCCTAAAGTTGCCTATCAACAGAAAAAAAGAAACTAATATTATAACACAGTTGAAGATGTTTACTACTATTTCAAATATATATATATATATATATATATATATATATACATACTACATAGTGCGTGTATGTATGCACATACAACGGCACGTACACAGATAGGTAATTATATATTTTTAATACATATTAAACGTAAATCGGCTTGTGAATATTTCCTTTATATTTGTATGGGCTTTGTATTCAATGATAATACAATATGTTTAGAATGGCTTATTCTTACATGTGTAACATTTGTACAAGAGCGACTGTATTCTTTACAACATACTCCATGTTTTTGAACAGTATTTAATGAAATTTCTCAATGTTTCCTCGAGTCTTATTTTATAGCCCTCCTAAAATCCTCAATCACGTGCATTCTATACGTTGTAGTATTGGTTCTAGGAAAAAACTAAATAGTTCAATTCATTGAAAAAAAAAAAAAAAAAAAAAAAATCGTATAGGATATATCACAATAAAATAACTTTATTTCACATGTTTTTTGTATTTGTGATTTATGGGATACCCAAATAAAATACTAATAAAATCTATCATTTTAATACATAAAAAATAAGCAGAACAAATTTAGTATATCTTTAATAATTGCAACAACCAATTAAACATACTCCTACTTCTTTAAGCGCAAATTATAAAGCTGTTACCATCTATTTTTAAAAACTCTTTTATAATTTCACCAAGGCACAAGATTATACGTAGAATACAAAAGAATCATAAATTCAATTCGAACGTATAATTCAGTTTAAAATTTGTTAATGTGTATGCAGAGAACACAAATTCACTCCAGTGCTTACAATGGTCGTTTCATTAATCTAGAATATGAATATTCTATGAAAAGTTTACATGTCATACGCACGCACTCAATCACTCACGCACACGTATGCACAAAATGAGGTCCACTCATGAGGAAATATCTCAAATAACATAAATTAGTTATGCAGTTTATAAAAAAGAAATATGATATATGTATGTTACATGGTTCAACAAACACATTTGTTACTTTAATCAGTGTCATATTCATTTTTAGTATTTAAGTTTTTTTTACAATAGAATATAAAGGGAATGTAATAAAATAAACTCAAGTTATAAATCTTTACTTTCGAATTTTTCAATAATTACCTAACATGATTGAACTCATCGAACGCAAAGCAACGATAAATGATTAAAGTAACATGTATTATTTTTGAAACACATCTTTTTTTTTTTTTTTTTTATGTAAAACATAACTTAAAAGCAATGAAAGGCTAAATGCCTCAACCTATTATATACTAAAGTACGCATATAAATCTATCATATCTAAATCTTCTAATATTAAAATAGTTCATCTGATTAGTTGATTCAGTATTTTACGTCTTATATCAAAATCGTGCGTGATGTAAAATAACACATCAGAGTTATGATTTCTTTGTTCAGTTTAAGGTTCCCAAATGAATTAGCTCGTTATTAATCTTCACACCTAATTAACAATATTAGCTGTGTTGGAATATAACACTAGTGTTTCCATTCAAATCGTTGGACATCTGTAGCGCACAATCATATTTTTAATATATACGTATTTTACAGATTCTTAAGATTAAATTTATTGTTAATTCACTGATATAAACCACATATAAATCATAACTTTGTATAATTATCGTCAACAATAAACTTCAATGTTATAAACAATGCACAACAAGAACATAATTAATTAAATTTATTTGATGCAATGATAAATGTAAGAACTAATTTTAAAACAATTTCTTTTAGGAAGGAAGAATATATTATACAATCTCTTATACAAATTATAGATAACAGGTGACAAATATGTATTTACATTTTCATATTGTTATACATATTATAAAACTGTTACTGCCACGTGTAATACTTCATCAAAATATTTGCCTCATTTATACTTAATATCCTTGTTATTTCGTTTTAAGTTTAAAGTAAAAGTAAGCGAAAATAGATATACAAAGAAAACGATCGTTACCGTTTGTGTATTCACAGAACTTTTCCGTCAATATAAGCCTTTATGGCATTTTGACATTCTATGGAACACCAGTGTTGGATCAGTAAATAGGTCTCTGATTCCAATGCTGCATCTAATTTTTTCCGCAAACTATGTCGTAGCAGTGTTTTTGTAGCTTCCATAGACTGAAAATGAATAGACAGAGCATTAAAACAGTAATGCATATGTAAATATAGAAATCAGGACGTGTAGCATAAATATTAATTAGCTTTATATACTCATTAACAGCTATATAGGCATGAGTGGAACATTCTACTGTTATTTATGACATAAGTTTCATTCGATTAACGAATATATAAAAATGTTAGTTTTAATTTATTTTCTATTGCCCATAATAACTAAATGCTTCGGGAGTTATATTATAATTAACAGTAAGTTAAACAATGTTACATTCAAATATTCAGATGATGTAAGTACGTATGTTTAAATATTATGCATTACATAAGAAATGTACAAAAATATTGTATGTAAAAGAAATATTTAACTTATGACATTGATGCAGATTAACAGAGAAAGTGATTTACACGAATGTAAAGTTAACGAAGCGTGTAATGTGATTTATGAACGATTTTGGGCATCTAGTTTAACAGAAAGACTTTGTCGTTGTCCTAATAGAAAGGAATGCCCGTGGCAATGGATGAAAGAACCTGAAAATTCATCTGTTCGGTTGAATAATAAATCATATATGAAGGTATGGAAAAAACGTCTATCATATGTTGCACTTTAGAAAATGTACTTATTTTTTCTAGTTTTGTTCTACAATAACAAAGATGAATGTATGTACGCATAGTGAAGAGGCAGTACAAATATATGGTAAAAGTGATAGAGATAATTCTTTTTTAACGCCATATAATGTAACTGTAAACTGCATTTGCCCAGAATCACATTACTGGAGGCTTCAAAAATACATGTACGAAGAAAATGATCTCATTATACAAACATTCAAATGTGTCAAGGTATATATGTATATTTAAAGTTAATAGATGTTTTAATCATTTAAATATTCTAATAAATTTTCTGTTATATTTTTTATATAGAAAAGAACATGCATTGCTCAGGAATTTTGTGGACATATACGAACTGATATATATTCAACATATTACAGATGTACTTGTCCCCAAAATCATTTGTGTGTCTTTAAGGATCAAAATAGGGAAAATGTTCAAGAACTACTTTATTCTGGGCCTGCTTACAAAGGGTTCTGTCTTCCATTCAAAAATATGTAACGTTTAATTATTTTTAAGAAAAATACATACCTGTGAAGATTGTTCACTCATGGCTTTTAAAGTTGGTAATAATTCCACTTGAAATCTATCAGGCCATAGAACTCGAGTAACAAGACCAGCTCTTAATGCTTCACTAGCGGTTAGTGTTCTTCCACCTAATAATAATTCACTTGTCTGTAAAAGAAAAAAAATTACTTTTATCGTCTTGATTACATATGTATGTATAAAGAATGTATAATGAAATAACACATTTAAATTGCACACTTACAATTGCACTTCCTAATATATGTGATAACGTGTAAACAGCAGCACCTTCAGCAATTTGCCCCAACTTCCCATAAGGTGTACTGAATGTTGCTTTATCACTAGCTATCACAAGATCAAACAAAGGCAACATTGTTACTCCAAGTCCAACCGCAGAACCCTGTACTCCAGCCACAATAGGTTTATTAAATGATGCTAAAGTTTTAATAAAATCTCTAAATACGGGAAAAAATGAGTTTAGTTTAACATAACAGAATAAGTTATAGAGAATTTTTATAATAACAACTACATACTTAACAGCATCCGCCACTTCTTCGGCACGAATTCGCCGTTCTTCTTTGTTTGCATGCAATAGCGTAGAAAGTTCAAGACCTTCGCAAAAACTGCTACCTGTTGACGTTAGTAAAACAACTCTACAGTCATCATCTTTTCTTAAAATTGATAATGTTTCGCGAAACTCTTGCATCACCTAAAAATCATTACAAAATCATTAATTATTGTATACATTATACACTTGATAGATTTGTAACAAGATATTAAATGCAATACCTGCAGAGTGAGAGCATTTCTTATTTTTGTTGAAGATGACGGTGTAAGTATTAACTGGACAAGATTACCGTGTCGGCGTACGTTGATTTCTTTATTACTGAACTGACTACGAGTTTCCATTTTTGTTTTATTATCTAATTCCACTACCTTCGTAATATTTGCATTTACTGAAAAATTAGCGTTTTATAGTTAATAATGTTTATTAAAAATAATAAAGAATTATTATTTTCTTTAAATTATTCTTTTCACCTTTGCTTTTACGATTTGCCGTTGTACTTCCTGATCTACTTCCAGCACTGACTACTGAAAGAGCATTTGCAGCTTCTGCAAGGCAGGCTGAAAGCTCATCTTCTTCTTTGGAAAATTCTTCATTATCCTGTTCATTTGCTTTACCAAATGTAACTTTGTTCTTTGCAGTTTTCTTCGTTTTAGATGTTACCTTACCTGTAGCTGCACCATTCGATCGTGTGATAACTTTGCCTAAACCGCTATTTGTTTCATTTATTAGAGTAGTTTCTGATTGCTTAGAACTTTTATTATCAGTTTTCTTTGGATCTGATTTTTTATTCAGACGCGGAGGAAAAATCATTTTATCTTCTCTGGTGTCAATAGTAACGGTTTCTGTATCTATTTTTGGTACAGTCTTCTTTTTAATTTTCTTTGCATTTGTTTTATCCTCTTGCGAAAGTCTTCTCTTTGTAGATCTCAAAGAATGAGACCCTCCTTCGTCAATAATTTTAACTCCATCATTCTTTTCTGGACTATCAATACTAACTCTAGGACTTCCAGATGCACTGGAAAACGAACTAGATGAATGTCTTCTAATTATAACAGATGCGTCCGCTGCATTCCTTATTTTTGCAGGTAAAATAAATTCTTGAGATGTTTCATTAACTGGTTTTACAGTTGTAACTTGATCACCAATTTTCTTATCTAAATGCATGTCGTTTAAATATACAGACGTTCTTTTAGATCTTGGCGAAACTTTTGATACGCCCGATGTCGAAGTACGTAATCTTAAAACGGCATTACGTACCAATTTTTTTCTAATTTTAAGTTCACGTTGTACTTTCTGTATATCCATAACTTTTGCTTGGGACTTGGTAATAGGAATTAATCGCTTTTTATCTGGTTGTTCCACATCGTATAATAAATTTACAACACCTTCGTCTTGAAGTAATCTATCTATTTCATTTATGATCTTCTTTTTCGGTTTAGAATCTCCAGGGTTGTTCTCTGTTACTCGTTTTGATTTTGAAACAATT